GTCAGCGCTGAGGGTGCGCCGCACTGTCGGAGGGTCAGCGCTGAGGGTGCGCCGCACTGTCGGAGGGTCAGCGCTGAGGGAGCGCCGCACTGTCGGAGGGTCAGCGCTGAGGGAGCGCCGCACTGTCGGAGGGTCAGCGCTGAGGGTGCGCCGCACTTTCGGAGGGTCAGCGCTGAGGGTGCGCCGCACTGTCGGAGGGTCAGTACTGAGGGAGTGGGGCACTGTCGGAGGGTCAGTAGATTTGAGTCCCCCCACCCATGGCAGTATGTCATATGAAAGTGGACTGGTTCTCCTGGTGTCCTATTCAAAACAGACCTTATCATCACTTTAAAGTTTGTGGGATCTTGTGTCTACAAATTTGCTGCCACTTTTCTTCTTACAGTAGTTACCTTTCAAAAAAATTAATTAATTTTTGAACAGTGATTTCCTGAAGTCACTGTCTAAATATGAGGCTGTGGCCCATTTCTGCTGCGACCCTTGTACTCTTTATTAAACTGACCCATGGAGCATCCACTGCTCTAATGGTGATGGTCAGCTGAAATGACCAAGCAGTTTTTAAGTTAGTGTCTGACTGGGTTATTGCAATCTTCTTCTATGGCTCCAACTGAGTTTTCACATTCCTTCTATTAATCATTATTGTCGAATTAGTTTGGATCTAACTTCAGGGTTGTGGGAAAACAGTGGGTGTGAGGAATGTTGGATCAGCCATGATCCTATTGAATGTGACATTGAATGGGCTCGAGGGGCTGAATGGCCTCCTCCTGTTCCTATTTCTAATGGGTTTATGATCTAACTTGCTGTCGTCCTTATAAATCTCTACTTCTCATTAACTTTAGCTTCTTAAGTGTAGGCTCCTTTTGTCTTTAAACAGTTTGCTGATTTGTAATGTTCCTTCTAACCCTCCAAATAACTGTTCCCCAACTGGACGGTTTTCATTTGGAATATATACGTAAGTTTCTCATTCTCTTTTTCTGTTTTCCCATTTAATGTTGCTGATGACACTTGTAAGTCACATTGCGCCCCTGTGTTTATATGTTCACACTTTCTGTCTCTGATCTGTTGGTTTTTAACATTTCAGCACAAATAGTGCATCCATCTAGTCCCTAGCCCTCCTCAGCTGCTTCAGCCAGCTCATCATATACGTCATATAGCGCTGTCCCCGACATGCACCAGGAAGAGTACAAACCTTCACATTTCCCAGTCATTTCAATTTGTCTCCTGCCCTCTCCTTCCTCTCTACACTGTTTATCATTCAATAATCCCTTCTCTAAAAATCACAAGGTATCAAACTATGAAGCTCATGAAAGGGTACATTATCGGAACCAACAATAAATTAAAGGGGAGTGATTTGTTCACAATGCTACAGTGTAACTTACAGTGAATGCAAGATTTGTTGATGAATACTTGTGTTCTTGGTATCTACAAGTGCACATCGGGTGAGCGGAGCTGAGAAGTTGTGAGAGAGACAGGTCATTCCACCAGCTGAAGAGTTCTCTCAGTCCATCCAGAAGCTCAGAATCCCAGCAGAGGTGACGGCACAGTGGTAAACGTTTGGGAGGGAGTTACCTTGGGAGTCCTCAACATTGACCCTAGACCTATTAAGTCTCATGACATCAGGACAAACACCGGCAAGGAAACCTCCTGCTGATTACCACGTACCACCCTCTTCCATTAACAGCCCCGGTTAGACGAGGGTGAGAAGGGCACGGATGTACTGTGGGTGGGATTTCAGGGTAACACAACTGACCTAGCTGGCTGACTACTAAAGCTGCTAGACTGGGTCTGTGGCAGATTGGGAGGGAACCAACAGAGGGAGAAACATACTTGACAAGTGGCAAGTAACATTTGCGTTACACAAATGCCAGCAATGACCATCTCCAATAGGAGACTATCTGACCATTGTCCCTTGACGTTCAGTGGTATCACATCCACTGAATCCCCCACTATCAATGTCCTGGGGGTTATCATTGACCAGAAACTCAACTGGACTCACCACATAAACACAGTGGCTACAAGAGCAGGTCAGAGGCTAGGAATCCTGAAGCAGAAATTTCAACATCCACTCCCTGCACCACCGAAGCTCAGTAGCAGCATTGTGTACTGCCTACAAGGTGCACCTTAGAAATTTATCAAAGATCCTCACCCAGGACCTTCCAAACCCATGACCTGTTGGTTTTCTTTAGAGCAGAGAAGGCTGAGGGGGGTAGGGTACTGATAGGGGTGTGTAAGATTCTGAGGAGCATGGACAGGGTGGATAGAAAGCAGCTGTTCCCCCTAGTTCAAGGGTCAATAACAAGACATCAGCTTTCCTGCTCCTCTGATGCTGCTTGGCCTGCTGTGTTCATCCAGCTCTACACCTTGTTATCTCATTAACAAACGGACATAATTTTGAAGTGAAAGGCATGAAGTTTAGAGGGATTTGAGGAAATGTTTTTCACCCAGAGAGTGGTGAGGGCCTGTAATGCACTGCCTGGGAGGGTAGTTGGAGCGGGTAGCCTCACAACCTTTAGAGAGTACTTGGAAGAGCACTTGCAATGTCATAACATTGAAGGCTGTGGGCCGAGTGCAGTAAAGTGGCACTAGTGTAGGGCGTAATGTATTTTTGGTGGTGGGCCAAAGGGCCTCTTCCATACTGTATGGTTTTATGATTCTATGAACCTGTACCACCTGAAAGACAAGGGCATCAGGTACATGGGAACACCACCACCTGCAAGTTCCACGCCAAGCCACTCAACTGAATATCCAGTCACCATCCCAATGTGGAAATATATCGCTGTTCCTTCACTGTCACTGGGTCAGAATCCTGGAATTCCCTCCTTAAGGACATTGTGGGTCAACCCACAGCACATAGACTGCAGTGGTTCAAGAAGGCAGCTCACCCCCACCTTCTCAAGCGGCAACAAAGAAGGGCAATAAATGCCCACAATGCCCAGACCCTGTGAATAAATAAAGTCATTTGTTGATACAATTCTGTAAAATGAGAAAGAATGTGAAATGAGGATAAACATTTGATGATGGGCTTGGGTTATAGATATGGCAGTCAGGTGGGTGAGTAAATCTTGCTTTCAGAATCTCATCTCTGAAGATTGTGGTAACCGCCACAGAAATTAGATTGGCCTTTTAATAGTGAACCTACAGAAAGTTCCTGGCCATGCACTCAGGTCCTGTGTGGACCAGCTAGCGGGAGTATTCGCTGACATCTTTAATCTCTCTTTGCTACGATCTGAAGTCCCCAACTGCTTCAAGAAGACCACCATCATCCCAGTGCCAAAGAACATTCATGCAGCGTGCCCCAATTACTACCGCCCGGAGGCTCTGAGCTCCATAATTATGGAGTGCCTCGAGAGGTTAGTCATGACACACATCAACTCCGTAGAGTCATAGTCATGGATTTGTACAGCACAGAAACAGACCCTTCACTCCCATGCCGACCAGATATTCCGAATTAATCTAGTCCCATTTGCCAGCATTTGGCCCATATCCCTCTAAACCTTTCCTATTCATATACCCAACCAGATGCCTTTAAATGTTGTAACTCCAGCCTACCAGACTGCATTGATCCCTTGCATCCACAGCAGACACCATCTCCCTGACCTGACACTCATCCCTGGAACATCTGGATAACAGGATACTTATGACAGGCTCCTATTTATTAACTGCAGCTCCACCTTCAACACCATAATTCCAACCAAACTAATCTCTAAACTCCGAGAGCTAGATCCCATCTTCCTTACTCACAGACCACAATCAGTAAGAATAGGTGACAACACCTCCTCCATAATAATCCTCAACACCAGTGCCTCGCAAGGCTGCGTACTCTGCCCCCACTATACTCCTTACACACTCACGACCGTGTGGCCAAATTCCACCCCAGCTCCAGTTACACGTTTTCTGACAACATCACTGTTATCGGTGGGGATCTCAAACAATAATGAGACAGAGTACAGGAAAGAGACAGAGTGCTTAGACGCATGGTGTAAAGACAACAATCTCTCCACCAACATCAGCAAAACAAAGGAGCTGGTCAACTAAAAACCGAAAGAACTGCGGATACTGTAAATCAGAAGAAAAACTGAAGTTGCTGGAAAAGCTCAGCACGTCTGGCAGCATCTGTGGAGAGAAATTAGAGTTAACGTTTCAGGTTGAGTGATCCTCAGAACGTTCTGAGGAGGGGTCACTCAACCCAAAATGTTAAATCGGATTTCTCTCCACGAAGGAGCTGGTCATTTACTCCTGGAAGCAAGTGGAGGACATGCCTGTCTACATCACTGGTGCTGGGGTGGAGATGACCGAGAGCGTCATGTTTCTAGGAGTGACGATCACCGACAATCTGTCCTAGTTCACTCACATCAACGCGACAGTCAAGAAAGCACAACAAGGCTCTACTTCCTCAGGAGGCTAGGGAAATTCAGCATGTCCACAAGGACATTCACTAATTTTTATACATACACCATAGAAAGCATCCCATCTGGATGCATCACAGTCTGGTTTGGCAACTGTTCTCCCTAAGGCCGCAAGTAAGTAGAGAGTAGTGAGCACAGCCCAGTCCATCATACAAACCAACCTCCCATCCATTCACTCTATCTACACTTCCCGCTGCCTCGGGAAAGCAATTAACATAATCAAAGAGCCCTCCCACCCTGGTTATACTCTCTCCCACCCTCTTCCATCTGGCAGAAGGTATAAACATTTTAATACACATACAGCTTCTTTCCTGTTGTTATCAGACTTTTCAACAGAACTCTCAAATGTTAATTCT